TTTGAAAAAAAAAATATTAAAAATTGCCTTTTCCAAAAACTAATCATTTCTTCACTTCACTTCATTTTATTCGAATCGGATTATTTATTTCTCTTAAACTGCCGTTTTTTACACTTTTAATTCCTTATTTCTGAAACGGTTGGGTTTGTCTTTGCCAAAAACTCATCAGCACTAATCCCCATAAGTAGGAATCATGGATCTAGGATTTTGAATCATTCAAATCGGTTGAGCGGTGCTCCAGAAAACGTTGATGAAAAATTGTAGCCACACATATATACACACACACATATCCTTCTCTTCTAAAGTATGCCAAAAACCTCAGAAACCTTTGAAAAAAAAGATATGCAAAAGACGATTACTATAACTTATCTACGGGAAGTTAATAAATGTAGAATTATATATGTTTGATTTGTTTAGTTTTTAACACTTCGTAGCGTAAAAACTTGAATCAGAAATAAAAACTTCTATGACTGAATTGAATAAATAAATTTGATGGCCCCAGAATTTTTACTGCATCATATAGATCTGAAGATTGACTACGTCTATTAATCAATACTAAAATAAAAATGACATTTTTCAATGTATTATTACTAATAATATTACTCTTAAGATTTGGTTATTTTTAGTATGTAATACAGGTAACCCCCGTACAACACGATAGTTACTTTCCAGAAAACTAACAAGGGACAAAGAACTAGTACAAAAAGAGGGATTACATCATGATTTTATAATAAATATTGTTACATTTATTCATTTTTTTAGAAGTAATATACATTACTTGAATCATGATCCTCTTTTTTGCAAGATATCCTCATCCTCTGAGCAGTTTTCTATACTAGCTTCAGATCCATGCATTATTTTTTACTTGCTTTTAGGAAAATGATATTATTGATATTTATATATTTAACACGTGTAAAGTAATCTCTATTAAACTTTTACGCTTATTTTATTTAAAGATAATCCTAGAATTTTTTTTCGATAGAACGTACGCGCTCTAATAAAATATATGAGTATATCAAATTTTATCTTTTGCACTAGTTTCATCACATTTATTGATCTATTGTACCCTTTTCATAGGTTTTACTATATTTCTTGTTTCATCAAAACTTTCCTCAATTCTTAAACCGTGTTATGCGAACCCGAAGGTACCGTGTTATGAGGGGGAGGGTCTCAATTCTTAAACCGTGTTATGCGAGGTTACCTGTATTAGGTATAAAAAGCTATTCATCCTACCTCCTCATTAGAAAAGAATCGTGGCGCAATATCTTTTTTTTTTTGTGGACTTATATTGTCCTTTCAATATTGCCGCTGCTACGTAAATCAACTTAATTCATTATTTTATCAATTTAATTTTATCCTGGAAAGGGTAGTTGTTTTCGCCAGAAAATCTGATTTTTTTAATAATATATTTTTTTTATATTTTAAGACATTCTGAATAGTTAGTTAATAGTTTCACGCCGAAATTGAAATAAATGTATGTGTATCTGAGCCAAAATTGGATCTTCTTCTCACCCGTTTTCTCAAAAACTTGTTAAGGACTAGGGTTGAGAGAAAAGAGCAAAAACTTTTGTCTACGTTTTAATAAAAAAAATTCATGAACCGATCATAAATTAATCTATTGATTTCTTATTGACTATGTTGATTATTTAAAACCGTTGGAAAAATCAGGCTACATGCCTTAAAGCAAAATGCTACTTACGCTAATTTTAAATGTGAATTGTTTAATTATTACTAATATTCTAATGCTTATTATAATATTAGAAATATGCTTTGTATCACGACCTTGCAATTTGTAATTCTTCGTACTTTTATTACAAGTTTGTTTTTCTCTTGAATTATAAAACATCAGCGACTATTTAAATTTTTGTCTGGATAAATAAAAGGCATTTGTTGTCATTGCCTAAACTTATAGACGTTGATGTGTCTATCTTATCAAAATCCATGCATATTTGCATACCAAATTAGATTAATAATTATATGAGTGAGGTGCATAGCAATGCAACAGATATATCTTCTAGAATACTTTTTATGAAAAGTATTAAAGTACGAAAAAAAATCTTCCTTTAATAGATTTTTATTTATTGCAGTGTATGCACTTTTTCATTTTAAAATATAATTGTTTATGGATATATTCACGAAAATATTTATTTTTTCGTATACAATGTCATTTGCAAACATCACGACGCGATTCTCTGTTATAAATGAAGGACATTGCTTTTCAAAATAAAATCGTTATTGTCTTACGATTTCTTTAACCTTACAATAACTTTAACCTTCAATGCACTCTTGTACAATGCCTTGTTGTCGTGCAATTACAAATTCTATTAAACTTATTGCATATTTGTATCAAATTCAAATGTAGTGATGATTAGTTTATACATTTTTGTTACATTAATTAGATGTAATTTGAATTTTGAGAACACACTACTTTTACAATTTAATTAAAAAACTAGTGGGACGCATGGCATCGTGTCTTAAGGCAAATTGCTGGAAATTCCCGTACCAATTTTTTTTTTTAAGATTAACATTTTTGAAAAGAAAATACTCTGAAAAATTAGATTTTTGGGAAATTATAAATTTTTGACAAAAATTTACTTTTTTCTGAAAAAAAGACTTTTTGAAGAAAAGTGTATTTTGAAATATTTTGGAAGTTCTGAACATTTTTTCAAAGCAATCGTACTGCTTTAAGTACCTAGAGACGAAATATCGAAGCGCGTAAGCGCCGCGTCTCCGTCTAACGGATGAACATTAATACAGAACCCATAGGAACGTAAACAAAATTTATATTTATTGTTAAAATCTCTATAAAATATCTGATAATTTGATGTGCATATGTCTAATGATCATTTTTGACCGCCAGATGGCGTTTTTTTTACTTTTTTCATTAGATCTCCGAAACCGCTAGACCTGCCTTCATGAAAATTTGATCAGTTCTTCATTTTGCCAATACAAGTAAAATGAAGGAATTTTTTAAATTATTTAAAATTGGACGCTCCGTTTTCTTAAAAACTGAGTTACCATTTTTGGCACTTTTTGTCTCCTATCTTCGGAACGGCTAAACCTGCCTTGAATCGAATGTTTTTTGAATTTTTCAAATCGGTTGATTGGTGTTCCCGAAATTGTCGACGAAAATTTGTATCCGCACACACACACACACGCACACACACATACATCCATTTTTTCTAAGGTATGCCAAAATATTCAGAAACCTTTTTACTTTTTTTACTAGATCTCCGACACCGCTAGACCTGCCTTCATGAAAATTTGATAAGTTCTTCATCTTGTTAATACAAGTAAAATATTTTTTGAATTATTCAAATCGGACGCTCCGTTCTATTAAAAACTGAGTTACCGTTTTCGGCACTTTTTGCCCCATACCTTCGGAACTGCTAGACCTGCCTTTGCCAAAAACTAATCAGCACGTCTCCTTATCAATACGAATCGAATGTTATTTGAATTATTCAAATCGCTTCATCAGTGATCCCGAAATAGTCGACAAAAATTTGTATCCGAACCCACATACACACACGCACACACACATACATCCATTTTTTCTAAGGTATGCCAAAATATTCAGAAACGTCTGAAACGTAAAGATATATAAAAATTTTCATTTTCGATTTTTTTGCGATTACTTAACTTACCCTACGAGAAATTAAATATTCAAACAAATTGGTATATGCACAATAATTGTAATCGTTATAAGTTTCTAAATATTTATTTATGGCGAGGTAGAATCTTCGCTAAAATACTAGAATTTTAAAATTTATGGGAACTGATTCTAACAATTGTAAGAGCACAGGTTCTCAAAATTATTTTTATCACTGTTGTTATTTAATGCTTTTTCTTTTAGGAAGTTTATTGAACCCCGATACAGCAAGAAAATTCGACGTTGAAAATTTCATGTTTTCAAGTCATTCTGCATCGTTTGCGGAACGATTCCTCAAAAAAGGCTGAATCGATTTAAAAATTCGATGAGGTCTCGAAAACTCAAATTACAATTTTTTTCACGTTATCTTAAACAATGCTCAATCATTTTGAGAGATGGCAATCGCGCTATTTAGTCTTTGGCGAAATCGGTCTGTGTCTACGTAATTAACTTTCTTCTACAATATTGATGATTATGAGTTTCATGGTTTTAACAAATAACTTAAATTGTTTAATTGCAAAAAATAATTCAAGTTTAAGTTAATGAACCGAGTCAAAAGTTGCTAATTCGGGAAGTATTTGCAGCTTGCCTTATAGCAGTTAAGCAAAATGCCACTTGCCGCCAAACTTGTAATTTCTAATTCTCAAAGAAAATTTTAACTCTTTAAGGACTTGCGATGATCGATCGATCCATAAATTTTCGTCCACAATTATGCTAAAACTCCCGAAGCGATCTTGAAAACTCAAAAACTCTTCGATAGATATCAGATAGTGTTAATTGGTTAATTATGTTTATTGGTAAAGATCGGCCGTTCATTCGTATTTATTCTTTTTTTATGATTATGAAGAAACTTTGTGTGATGATAGGGGTCATGGTTTTCACGAACATCTAAACACAATGGGCCTACAAAAGGCTGACTATAAAAGTTCATTCTGCTTATTATTACTTATTTTTTACTTATTCATAGCTGACTATAAATAAGTTTGGAATAATAGGCTACGTCAAATATTTAAAGTTGAAGTTTTTCAATTTTAAAAGTTGTTAAATCAGATTTTTTATTGGTTGACGATTATTCTCATATATACGGAAGTTCATGCAACTTTTCTTAAGGCAAAATTCCACTAATGAATAGTTACGCGATTAATGTTAATAAATAAAATATAATTGAATAAAATACGATTGGCCAAGCCGTTTTTATGCTTGTGTATATGTGAAATACTAATGAAATAAGCAGTAGCAATTATATAAGATCTTATAATTTGAATCATTTTCAATGAATTAGACTACATTTTTGTTTTTAAATTTTTTTAAATATTTTTTATTTAATTTATTTTTAATTATTCAATCGTAGGTACGCTGGTTCTACAAAGCCGTTCAAGACAAAGTATGGCTCGAATTCTCCGGTTACGATTCGCTCCGAATAGAATCAAAATATCGAAAGATTTACAAAGAGAATATTTTGAACCATGACTGCGGTGGCGATAATAAAAGCGATTTAATTACCAAACCACCGATAGCCAACGAAAAGACTGATGCCTCTGCACCAAATACAGAAACGACAAAACACTTATCGAATGGAGTAGTCCGACACCAAGAAGAAGACCAAAAAATATCTTTGGACATTATTACAGACAATAATATTTTAAGTAGTACAATTAATAGTTTTAAGAATACTGAACCGCATGATGCGACTCGGTCAGAAAATAGAAAGAGATCAAGTGCTGACAAAGATGAATCAACCACGGAAGATTTTAGCAAAGAACATGTTTTCGATCCTGAACAAAGGATAGTTGTCAGAGGAGGTAAATTATATATTATGATTTTTTTGTTTCAGAGTTAAAATGTAACCTAATTTATTTCTACTTAGGCATGTATGAAGTTGATCTCCACTTCATGACATGTGAGTCCATATATTGGCCAGGAGAACAGTGCCTTATTACGAGGTAAATTATTAGTTTATCATAAATATTAAGTAAAAAAAAGTATGGTTCAAAAAAGAGATATAATGATTTTCATAAAACCAGTGCAATTCGTCAATAGTGATTATATTTAAATATATATTCGGTTTTATATAATTTTCTACACAAATTTTATATATAGGGGAAAGTCCCCTAGTGGCGGATACCTAAGGTTATTTATAAATAATAATCAAAAAGTATTTTACGAAATGTTTATTAAATTATGATTTATGTTAGATAACAAAGTTAGAAATCAAACTAAATTAACAAAACCGCAATCTTTTCTAAAAAATAATCAATACTATGAATCAAACTTTGGTATAAAAAAATCTGATTTTAAACAGTGGCACCTAGTACCGGACATTTCAAAATAAGCTGCATTGATCACATATGTAGTCATCTCCACATTTTCGAATGTTTGCACGTTTGTCTTTGACGAATATTCTTAGATGCAAAAAAATCACTATTTATCTACCCTTTTGGCTGGGCCACACCGATGCTCTCATTCATCATTAGATTTTCATTCTTTGACTAGGAAATACGAAGAATGGGAGTATGTAGTGACCGTAAGCACTCATACAGAACAAATTTGAATAATTGCAATAAATTAAGTAAATTCTCACAAAAAATATCAATATGTGTACTGTCCGGCACTAAGGGACGACTTAGTGTTCGGAGCTAAAGGACAGACATTTTCGTTTATTTGGTGGCACCTACTAAAATTGGTTAAAAGATCTAATAATATTCTACCATTTTACGGAAAACAATCAAGTACAACTTTCATCTTTGCATACGACTCAAATGCAAATGCATAAATATGCTAGAATCACTTCCATTGATATTTAGGTGACGCCGTGATTTTGCGCCTAAAACAGGAAAGGGTTGCTCTCACCGTGGCCGTGTGCGTAACAGGCGAGACTTGGACCGTGATCCTGTACCTGTGTGCCTCCCATGCCCCCTTCACTTGTATTTTGATATGAAGAGATTTATACTCGCTTAAATAATACGTGTTAAATAGAGTGTCCGGTGTTTGGTGCCGTCCGGCGTTACGGGACTTTCCCCTATATCCAGATTTATCGTCTTTTTCGCTATGGGGTTAAGTTTTAACAAACAGTCGGTGTTTGCATCTTAAAGTTTGAATTTTGATTTTAAATCAAGGAATAACATGAAAACTTCCATTGTGGAAAGGAAACTTATCAGGTGCAAGCTGATTATATTTTTTTAGCAATGATTTATTTAATTAAAAGCGTTTTAATAATAAGTTCTTCAATTTAAAGATGCATTAACACTGAACACACGTCTAAAAACCATGTCTTAATTATTTTTTCTATTTTCAAATGAATATGTTTAATTAATTAAATAATTAATTTAACTTATGCTAGTTAAAAATAACAAATTTATAATCAAGTTAATAGAGAGTATGTTGATATTATTTAATAATCATTAATTCTATATCGACCTACTATAGTCATGTACTAATTACTTGATGATTTCGACCCATTTCACTACAAAGTTTTCCAAACAAAGTTGACTATGATACAAGTATGATACTAATGCTGAATCTATCGTCATCAATTTGGTCAGTGGCTTGTTCTTCGATAAATATTTTAGTGTTGGTTTTCATTTATATTTTAATTTACCTTTCATTGAGATCAAGATAAAAAATACTGGACTATTAGTATCATTATATTTCTTGATTCGATAATTTGTCGAATTCTTTCATGACTATGGTTCACAATGCTGTGTTCACCAAGATTTATTTATTTATATACAGCACTAATATTTTTATGTTACATGTCACATTCTTTAGTCTCTAATAATAATTCAAACACTCAAATATTTTTTATATTGCAGAGGTATTTATTTTTATGACGCAACATGGCAACCCTTAGAAATGGGGGTCAGTTTGGAAATGGAAGAGCATCACCAAAAACTATTCAATGGAAAATTACCATCTGAATGTACGCCTGACGGAAGCAGTAAAGGAAATCCTATAGGTTAAAAATCTAATCATTTACTCGGTGTGTTAAAGGGTTTGATTATTAATTAATAATATGATAATTAATTAATATTACAGTTATCCATACGGCGCATTTCACTGATTTTCACATAGCTTGGTTGTCACCTGATGAGATATATTTATACTCGGAAAACGCTCCCAGTAAAATTGTAAGAAGTGTAACGCACAGACTTGGTTTCCAAAAATGTGAGTTTTAATAATGTTAATAGAATTTAATGCGGATTAACGAAAAAATGTAGACTTTGTAAAAGTTTCCAAAAGTCTTCATATGAATCTTTTGTCTATTATATTAAAGTTGTCTCATCTACCCTTTTATAAAGAGTGATCATTTCACAATTGATTTTATCTGTAGGTAAATGGAAATTGTATATACATTCTGAAAAAATATACTTTTGCAGTATTAACTGATTAATTAAAAGGTCTTTTTATAATTATCAAGTACAGCTCATTTATTGAATTTAGATTATTTTAATAAACGTGTGTCGAGCTTTTATATATATTTTATTAATATGGTTATTCATATTTGATACCATAGAATGAATTATTTTAACTTTTAAATTTTAAATATACGTATAAATATAATGGTGCATTATTGGTTTATTCGCATTATCGTTTTTTTTTGCAACGAAAGATATGAGGACTTAATGTACTTTATATGGACAACTTTTCATATCACATGTAATTAATCATGCCAGATTTAAATTAAATTTAAAAACATGCAATCAGAAGAATTTGTCCATTCAATAGCGCTCAATGTACAACGTGGAAATTGTAGGAAATTTGTATAGAAATATCAATACTGGCAATAATTTTACTTTGTTGAATTTTGTTTAACCCTCCATCGGTCTGCGTGGTCTGGCCAGACTTTTTTCGACTTCAATTAAAGAAAAAAAATACTTCTAGTAATCCTATCGACTTGAAATTTCTTGACTTTTCCTAAAATTTCATTAGCTGTCGATCGATGAAAAAATCAGGACGAAAAAATGTACAGAAGGATAATTATAAGGATATTAACTTTTTTATACTTCGAACGGTCGGAAAGGTCTGTCTAGACCACCCATACATTTTGTATGAAATATACGCTTTTTGATATATGTAAACCAGTATTTTGTCTCTTTTCATGGTATTTTCTATTCAAACTGCGTTGTTTATATTCTTTGCTATGTGTTCTAACATGAATGTTAGTATTTTCATGGCGAGAGTTCCTTGAAAACCTACCAAACTTATTGGTAATCGCAAACACTGAAAATCGGATGAGTAATGCACACATTCATTTCAAAGGCGCCGAAAAAGAATAAATATTGTTTTAAAGAAAAATTAACAAAAAAGCAACGATTTTTTTATATTTTTTGATTTTTTTTATATAATCGTTAATATATAAGACGCCAGAAACTCATTTATCCCATATAAATGCATGTAAAATGAATGGTGGTCCAGCCAGACCTTTCCGACCGTTCGAAAGTGAAAAAATATCCGACCGACGGAGGGTTAAACTTTGTTAATTCAATACTCTTATTTTTTCTCCGAGTATGCATTATCTAAAGTTTTTATTAAAGTATAATATCTTTAGTATCTATTGATAAAACAAAACAAGAGGTAGGTGCACATTAGTATAAGATATTTTATATCATTGTGGCGTAAGTTAAAAATTTCACTATTTCAAATTTTTGAAAATATTTCTATTGCAGGCTGCGTTTCTCTTTCATATATGAGTTTTAACCTTTAGAATTTGTTACGTTTATGTTATTTTCAAATTTCTATTTTTAACTGTGTGTTGACTTAAATTAGTTTTGTTTTTGTTCTCGAAATGAATAAATATTAAGCAATAAATACCGATTTTTGTCTATTTTTCAATGTTTACGTATTATCATGTGGAAAGCATTGACCATATTTTTATAAACACTTAAAGAATTAGTTCAACCATTTTTTTCTTTGATTTTGTTAATCTTATATTATGAAAAGCTATCAATATTAATTATAATGTTATTTGTAATGATATGAATTTCATTTATAGCCACTGGATATCGCATAAAACGGGGTTACCGCGTTCCAGCCACTGAGTCCGATCAGCCGCAATCCGTAACGCACCTAGTTTTTGTTATTCATGGTATTGGACAAAAAATGGATGCCGGAAAAATTATTAGAAACACTGCAGCGTTAGTTTTTTTCATAATTTAGATTATCAAAGCCTATTATATTTATTATTTATAATGTTTGTAATCTATAGATTTCGCGAAAGTGTCGACTGGCTCAAGAATAAATATTTTCCATCAGCGAACCAGAGGGCGGAATTTTTTCCTGTAGAGTGGAGATCGAGCCTTAAATTGGACAGTGGTAAATATACAATAAGTTAATATTAATAATAATAATTAATAATGAAAAAAATATAAAATAATCAATATTAAAATAATTGCATTTCTTAAGTAGTATTTCCAAGACATCTATCACATATAACATAATATAATATAAGGGCCATTTGTTTATTATTTACAAAAATATTTTAATTTCTATATCATTATCTTTTTGCAGACAATACTAATTTATGTATTTTTTTTACAAAGTGGTATGAATCTTGTAATGTTTATAACATCAGTATTATTAACTATCATTTTTTAATATTTTTTAAAATGAATAATAGTTTATGAAATATTTTAGTTCTTCTTATAATTTAGGTTAACGTTGTATACAGTGCTGTAAATATGAATTATAATTCAACTGGTAATACCTAATTTTTTTTCAGATATGGTGGATGCAATCACACCATATAATGTGATGAGCATTCGACATTTATTAAATTGCAGCGCAATGGATATTATGTATTATACAAGTCCTTTGTATGGAATGGAGGTACAACTATAATATGATTTATCTAATTATTATTCTGAGCAATTTTTCTGGATAATATTAATAGTTTTGTACATGTTTTTATGTGTAAGTTTGCATTTTCAAGTATTGTCAACATGTGCTATAGTCATATAGACATATACCTTACAAAATAGTGCAGGGCTGCATAATCATATTTAAAAAATTGAGTTTTGAGCTTTTATCGTGATAAATAGTGAGTTTGATATATTTGAGGGTTTTTTTGGAATATTAAAAACATTTTTGGACTTATTTTAATTTATTGTAAATGTTTGGTACCAACAATAATTAAGGAAACGTGCTAACTACGTTAATTTTTATTTTTTTCCTAGGTTCAAAGAGGTTTAATAGAAGAATTAAATAGGCTACACGCAATGTTTTTGTTGCGCAACCCTACATTTCGAGGTTCTGTGTCAGTACTTGCTCATTCCTTAGGATCCGTTATTTTATACGACGTTATAACGGGATATCAGCCTGGAGTCTGCCAGAGAAACTGTGGCAGCAGCGTGTCTTCTAAAGTAAAGTTTTGAAATATATTAATTATTGATGAACTATTTTTATAACACTTGTTACATTCTCAGGAGCCGACTCCAGTAAGCCCACTATCATTTACAATAGAGCAACTTTTTTGTCTTGGATCGCCACTGAGCGTCTTCATTGCCTTAAGATTATCCGAGCCATCTAGAAAAGAAGTTCTTCCACCTGGTCTCTGCACAGGTGGATTCTATAATATATTTCACTTGAGTGATCCTGTAGCCTATAGGTAAATTCTATTATTCAAAATTCAATAAAAAAACATTATTTTTGTATTATTGTAAATAATTAACTTTTCATTGTTTTATACAATCAATTTCTTCCAAAAATCATCCGATTGTTCTGAAAATTCTTGGATTATTTTGGAAAAAAGAAAAACTTAATCGGGCTCTCAAATTTCCTGATGTTGAGATTATAATATTGCACAGTTTAAGATTAATAATACAAATATGTTTTTGCTTAGTTTTAAAATAATTTGGTTCATAAATTTGAACTTGGTATAATTTTATTTTAGGATGGAACCCCTGTTATGTAGAGATTATAGAAATATTGCTCCTCTAATGATACAGCCCTATACTTTAGCAGTTGCTGGAGATGTAAGATATGGGGAAATGCCTCTCGAAATGATAAATCGAGGTGAAAATAACACTTCTAACTCCTCTCCAAAGGAAGCAGCACAAAAGGAATCGCAACCCACAGGTAAATTATATGTAATTATTAGAAAGAGTTGGGTTTGAATTTTTAATATAAATTTTCATTAAAATACCTAATGAATTAATTATATCTGAATTTCATTTTTGTGCAAATAACGTATACTAATAACCTAGATTTTGCTATTTCAATTTGTTCATAACAATAAGTTTTTGTTGTGTTTTAGTCAATTTTTTTAGCGAAAATTAAGCAAATTTGAAGAATTTGATACCAATTACCTTCTTATTAACATTTTGTATTAACAATTATATAGATGATGTTCGTATGTACATAAATATTTAAGAAATATTTGTACTTATACAAAATTATTTACATATTTTTGCTTATAATATTTTCGTAAGATATCTTACAATAAATGGATTTGTGACACTTTGTTATAATTACATATGTTTTGTACACAATTCTTTCAATCTTTAAGAAATTTAAATTTATAAAACCACAAAATCATTGAATACGATTGATTATAAAAATTATTTACAAGGAAATCAAACATTAAATTTATTAGTTGAGCTGAATTGTTATGTTCTGACTCTTATCCAAACGTTCAGTAAATCCGTTTTAGTAAATAAATTTCGAAGCAGTATTTAAGTAATCCAAGATTGCATTTAATTATCGTGAATATTAATATCCAATACATTTTCGGTTCCCTGCAAACTGTAATCATGAAGAATGCGGAAGCGAAGGTTCGAGTCCGATACACGCGCCTTATAAAGGTACTTAGAGCACAAAAAAATAGTAGATATTCAATGGTTATTGCTTAAATAACGGTTGAAGTATAAAAATGCATGAATGACATTTCAGCATGTTGTATGTTATCAAATTCTCGGTGGTATGTCAAGTTATTAGGTGTATAGGAATTCTATTGGTTTTGTTATCTTATTATTTTTGCTACATTATATAGAGCTTAATATATATTGAGAACTATGTAGAAGTCTAGTAAGTAGTGTATCTGAATATAAATCATTTTTACAAAGAAAATTGATGATTGAAAATATTCAATTTGCTTTGTAAAAAAATAAATTGATGATTAAAAATCAGCATCATCGATGAATCATTTGATTTAGCTGTCATTTATTTCATTTAATTGGTATTGCGGTTAATGGCTCAATGAAGTATATTTTTGGGTTCTTGATAATAGAAGTAATATATAAAACGTGAATTCTTACCTACTCATCCCGGTATTGGTTTTGAGTTCCGGTTCAGCAAAAAAACGTTCCGGGTTCCGGTTCACGGTTCGGAAAAACAAGCCTTGTTTGTAATAGTACGTATAAAAATTCGTAAAAAATTAGAAAAAAAACAGTATTTTTTTAATAAGTCAGCCAATTATTATCAGAAATAATATTTAGTTCTGGAACGCGTTTTTGTCCAAAAAGGAAATCCTCTACATCACTACCTCTAAATTGCATTTTAGGCACATTCTCTTTGAGAAGAAGCTATAAAATTTGAACATTTATATTTATATGCCAATAATATAAACCTCATTTTTCTCTAATTTGTTTTAATGTTATAATAGCTTGATTGACCATTTCTATAAACTTAGCCCGTTATATTGACTTTAATTTAACTTTTAATCAAGGTTTTGTCACCTGAAAAAGGCAATAAAATGCTTTTATTAAGTAGAGTAAGTAGGACAGAAATGGACTACGTTTTTATTTTTGGTCGTAAAATGGTTAAAAATAAAAATATTTTTTTTAATATTTTCTTTATTTGCAAGGGTATTCCAAAATGAAATTTTTTATTATAGCAGATGCTTGCAATTATGTTTGGAAGTATCTCTTTTTTTGAATTGCAAAAAAATGTATTTACCGTGTTTTCCGAAAATGTAGGGAGATGTGGGCCACCCAAATTTTTATCTAATTGAAAAAACAGTGACTACAACAATAATGTTATTTTAATGTCTGAATAGAAGGAGTAACAAAGTTGGAATGATAAAATTGCTGAAAAAATTTTTTTTAATGTTATTTTAATGCCTGAATAGAAGGAGTAACAAAGTTGGAATGATAAAATTGCTGAAAAAAACATTTTTCAACATTCAAGAAAATATTTTAGGCGGAATTGGTGCCCGTTGTTTCAAATGGAATGGTCTGTTGCAGTTGCACTCGATGGAGTTTTTTCTTGTCAGCTTTTCCGGCATCAGTGTCTCATTTGAAAAAACTGAAAACTTTATTTTTTTGTCTTTTTTCACAGTTGATTGTGGAGGATTGCTCTTCTTGGAAACTTTTACTGGTACTTGCGAATTTTGCGCTGTGCTTCTTCCGCCGCGACTTTTAAGAGATGTAATGATGCGTTGAAAGACGATCTGCTAACGTTGGTAACAGCAAAAACAACACGCTTCGATATTTTATTTATTTTTACTTTGTTTATAGCAATAATCCATTTTTCGCTCACTTCTATCTACAGACGCCTTTTTTTGCATATGCATTCCACAAAAACACAATGTAAACAATCGGCAAAAATCACTTTGCATTTTAAAGATTATATTTCTATATAATATATTACATATTTACTTGAGAATTTCTCGTAAAAATTCGATGACAAATCACGTAAGAACGAGAGAAAAAACTTTTTCGGCCAAATTCTTAGTGCGTTCTTCTGTACAGTGCGAGTAGGCTTATAACCTCCAAATGCGCTTTAAAATTGCGCAAGTATCAAAATATGACAAATATGTGCGCAGTTCGACATACATGTCACTAGTCTTAGAGTTATTCGGGTGGTCCACTCCAACCTGTGGCCCAGGTCTGTCCATCGCACCCCACTATATATTTTTTTAAATTGCATTAAATATAATAATTGCCTTTTTAGAAAAAAAACAAATAAAAATCAACGAAAAAAAATCATTTTTATTCATTCGCGGAAAATTTAATTTTAGATGTTAATTTATGCATGAATGTATATTATGAGAAATTTCCCGTTGTCATTTCATACCGCACTGCCCAAATAGCTATATTTAAGCGAAAATATAAGTAAAATGGGATATCACTACTGCACGGTATCAAGGTGTCCTGAAACCGGAAGCCATTACTCCACGACTCCCTGGCTTAATCAAATGTTAATGTGCAAATTTATATAAGGCTGATTTATATTGTAATCATTGTGATTTTTAGGCGCCGGTGGTTCATGGCGAATATGGTCCTACGTGCGTCCACCTTGGAATAAATCGGAAACACAAACGGCAACTTGTACGGGCAACGAAACCAATGCTTGCAATAGCGCCAGTCCGGAATCTCAGCAAACGATGTCTTGTGAAAATCAACCGGATCCAGATGCTGGTGCAAACGCTACCGACGTTAGATGTGATAAAGAAATACAGGAAAACGCACAAAATCATTCGAACGCACATTGCTTGCCAAATGTTGACCCGTCAATTAAATTGACAAACAGGTAAATTTACTGAGTCAATAAATTTAATAAATAATTACAGTTTAATGTAGTATTTAAATTAATTTAATGAAGAATATTTAAAAGCATGAATGATCACAAAAACGTTTTTGTCACGGTGTATCACAGTTGAATCTATATGTTTCTTATTTACTTAGACAATTAACTAAATTTTTTTCATTTCAACATTGAATGTTTAAAATAGATCCTAAAAACTGTGATTAAATAACATTATTACATTACTTAAGCAATTTTAATTAGAATCTATGTCAAGCATATGTACGGTTTGCGTTTTGTAGGTAGCTATTGATTACAGGGACTAAGATAGAAAAACTCATTTTTTTACGATTTTGATCTTCAAATGCTCCAATGGGCCAGCGGTGGCGAAATCGGTTAGAGCGTGGGCTAGCAACAACTAGTCCCAGGTTCGCTGGTTCGATTCCCGCTACCGCCGTAGCCAGACATCAGGCAGCTTTGATGTCAAATTTCCACTTGGGGTTATAGATCACAATATAATTCCAAGTGGAAATCGTCCTTCGTGGACGTAGCTGCAACATCCAATCACATGTTAACTATTAGACGTAAGAGCTAATATCAAAAATATCCCACACATAAGAAAATGGTAAATTGATGGATTGCCTCTCATGAAATAGGTAGTCATAAGTCTTAACCAACAGCTCATAGAACCTATGAGAGTTCTGATTGCTGTTCAAACAATAGCAAAAAAAAAAGTTCCAATAACCTTATACAATAGTCACTGTTGGTGGTCCTGCCTTTCGCAAGATAGTTGATGAAGATCATTACTTGTGAATCCCAAAAAACTGACGGCGTTGCCTTTCTCTGTCTATTCCACTCGGCTAACTGTCTATTTGACTCCGGAGTGTAGTGGTGAAGCCAGGTCATATCCATGGTGACATATTGATGCAAAAACTCAGTTTTATTTTGATTGTACAGCTCCAAATACTCTTACGAAACATCAATTCGTAATGCTTTTGGCCAAATGTGAGTTTGCGCGGCACCCATTTAGCATAGAGGTTTTGCATATTCAAATATTCGTGAACGATATGTCCAATACGTTCCATTGATATCTTTAGAGTGTCAGCTATCTCAAGCAATTTTACTTTTTTGTTTTTCTAAAACGTTTCGGTAGACGGTGGGGTCTGATTATTTAATCAAGGCCACACCAGACTTATTGAGTGACGTTATATTTAAGATATTATAAGTATGTTTGAAGGACATCAACTGGATTTCTATTAATTATTTTTTAGTGAAAGCGAAAACTATATTTTCGAAATAAACAGTTGAGCGTTTTACCTAAATAGCTAAATCTCAACTCTTATTGATTAAGTTGATTATGTGTACATATCGAGGAGTTCATGCAACTTGCCTTAAGGGGAACAACTAGTGTGAAATTTTGAAAAAATCGATTTTTGTTTTTTTTCATATTTCGGTAGATTACACCTTTAAAAATAACATATTAAAATTTCAAATCGATATCTCAAATAGTTTTTGAGTTACAGCCATTTAAAAAGTATACATATAGTATAAAGTACAACGATCATTTTATCTTTGAACGCGTTTTTCTCGAAACAGCATTTTCCGAATTTGCTGCAGTGATTACTCAAAAACGAATGAACCGATCACTATCAAAATTTGTTTACATGTTCTGTATATAGTTCTCCGTAAAATGAAATATCGATTTTTTGATCGGATCAAAAATCGAAATTTGGCAGTCGAAAAACGACCAAAATTTTGGGTAAAATTCGACTTTTTTTTTAAAACGCCGCCATTTTGTCAATTTTTGATTTAATTTTTTTATCGTAGTTCACTTTACAGACAATATTATCTAGTTTAACGAGAATTATTTTTTTTTTTATTTCATCCACGTAGAAGGCCGGAATCACTGCAGCAGTTAAGGGCCTTTTTTTTGTCGCGCCGTTGGAGATCGACGATAATTTAAAAAATATTTAATTTCTTTTTTCAAAAATTTTACTATGTATTCTTAAAGCATGTATAAATATATTTCTAAAATTTTGAAATGATTGATAAAGTAATTTTTGTAATATAAATTCCCAAAAATCACCTTTTTTTAGGCGGTTACACTAGTTGTGCCCCTTAAGACAAATATGCCACTTTTTACAACTAGTTAGTTATCTTCTTGGTTTGGGTTACTATTGATGTACTTCATTGTGGAATTATTTCATGTGGAATCTTTTTTTCACAGAGTGGATTATGCAATTCGTGAAACTGGCTTGGCTATGAACTACTGGTCTGCTATCACTTCTCATACGAGTTACTGGACAAACTATGATGTGGCATATTTTGTCCTCAGCCGCCTCTTCCCTGATTTAGAACACCAAGCCGAAAGGAATAATACTGGCAACAACGACATGTTCGACAGTTTGCCGGTTTGACAGGAAAGTATAAATCGTTCACATTTATTTTATGACTTCGGCGAATTCATGTAGGTCAAATTTGCCAAAGTGTTTTTCGAACATATGCTCGTGATTAGTTTTTAAAATTTATTTTAATAAAATCAGAAATTTAGGTCGTATTGCATACCATATTAAAAACCTACCTTAAAAGGTATTTTTATATAATTGTGCTTTATCCAACTTGGTTATCTTGGTGCTATATATTTGTTTTAAAATTACTTCTTTTCAGTTTTATTCCGGCTGTGATTTTAAGGCTGTCCATTACCCTAGTCCAAATATTATAAAATCTCAGCAATTTGAGACTAAACGCAATTTTTATCACGTTTTGATTTATTAATAAATAAATGAATAAAACTAAACTAAAATAGAATTAATATTATATTAATTTATACTAAAATAATCTTTTGCGCATCTCTATCAAATCGTTGAAAAATTTAGCAATTTAGCAAATAACTTAAAATCAGAAATAGCGTTAATTTAAATATTCTCGCGAAAATTACAAAACTTTTGCTAGGTATAAATAAGTATGGCTTCTGTGAGATTGAGCCAGCTATATTTTGCAATATTTGTTTGAAGTCATGAATAAAATCTTAATAATGGAAAATTAAATAGAAAATATCTATGTATTTTCGACAGAATGCAGGTCATGTTTTTTTTTTAATATGAACTCCAAATTTGAGAAAAATTTATTTCGCAGTATAAAATAAAGGTGAAGAAAAGTACATGCTTTTCTGAATGACCTGTGGTTGAAAATTAGTATATATGGTATGAAATGTGACTTAAATTTATTCTGTCATATGCACAAAATGACCGAATGATCTTTGATATGATTGCTAAACCAAATAAAATTTAATATTACGCGCTCGATAATAAGAAGATGAACAATAAGGCGAAAATAAATGAAAGATGTAGAGTTTATTTATATCTTTCTTACCCCATGTATTAATTAAATAATTTTTGGAAAGTTTTAAGCCTTATAGGTGTAAGTGTAAAAAAATTTCATTCTTCTTTCTGTTAGTGACCTGGTAAAAATCACAGCTAAAATAATACATGGATTAAAAAGAAGGTATATAAATAATGATATATTAGGTTGTCAAATATCTCCCTTCCGCTTTTTTGCTCTTGGTTTATAATACAAAAAGGCGGAAGGGAGATATTTGACAACCTTTATATCATATTAATATTACTATATTGCACAGCTTATATTATTTATGTTTTGTTTTTTTTTTTAACTAAAAAGGCCTCATTTTTTTCTCAATATTTTTTATTTTAAGAATTTTCGACATTTTGGGTATTCAATATGTCTTTTTTCCAGTAACTGTTTATTTTAATATTTATATAAATTATTTTAAAAAAATAGTTTTGCTTACTTCAAATTGTCATATGTCTTCAACATAAAACATCAAAGGTCACGATTACATCAAAATAAGTACAATTCTTTAATATGTTTTTATCTAAAAATATAAAACGCCTAAAATTATAACATGGATGAATGAAACTTTGCATATAGCTGATAACTAAGAAAAATTAGAATGCAGATTGTTTGCTTTGAATTGTTTTGATGTTTTAAGTTGAATTTGTAGTCAATCTGAATAAAGATAATATATATTAAAATTGTTGAGAGAAAAGAGCGGAGGCTACTTAGTTCACAAAAACAAGACTTAAATTATATGTACATATATAATATTAAATTATTGCGCAAATAATAAATTTATATCAAGCGATCATTACGATGTGCCCAAATTTTTATATATATTTCATTCGCAATTGCTTGTGGTTTTAGAAATGTTTTTGGCATATATTTGTTAATATTCTCACTACTGTGATTACAATCAGAAAATTTCTAGATAATTTTTAGGGTTTTGCCTGATTTTTTGGGTTTGGAAAATAGCCTGAAATTATTATCAACATCACGCAAAATTGTTTTTACCATACAATATAATGTACTGTTATAATTATTCATCATTGTTTTTAATCAAAGTTTTATAGTGCCATTGATATGAATTTTTTACTCAATTTTCGGCTAACATTCTAGACGTTTTTCATATTAATTTTTAAGTCTATACATTTTTAGAATTACTAGATTCTTATATATGTATATGAATGTTTAAATAATTTATAAGAGTTTATTTTAATTGTTATTTCTTGTTGAAGTATATATTGTTAATATATACATATATCTGAAGTGCAATTACGTTGAAGCAGAACAATACTATACATTAAACTGTTATTGCATGTAGATTTTATTAAATTAGTCAGATTTAGAGAACAAATCGAAAAAGACAATAGAGTAAACCGTATGAATAAAATTCCATAAACTGAACGATTAGGTAAAATTTATTATGCTCTTTTGGTAAAATGCGATATTAAAAAGTTGGCTGCTATCAAAGGGCGAATTTCTATGAAACAGTCACAATGAAATGTTAAATTTTAATGAGATTATTTTGAAACAAATCGCGTTTTTAACTTTTTACAATATTTAGTTTTCTTATTTATTAATTAATATTTGTTTCAACTGATACTATATTCAACATTCTTGGTGTATACGTTATATGAGTTACACATCACACTTAAGAGACAAGATTATATTCAAATTTTCTATAAGCTTCATTTCAATTTAAATAACTTTAAGATAATAATATAATTAGTTGTTATTTGTAACATTTTATCTAAATTTAATGAATTTTTAAAATAATAATGATTATTTCAAAGTAACAAATTATATCTAAATATTTTAAATGAACTTTTTTATTTGAAATAAAATATTATATACATTAAATAAAAAAATAAAAACTTTTCATCAATTATTTTTAAGCGTCAATTGATTGTCGTGTGAAACACATTTTTAATGCAATACTTTTATTATATAATTTCATCACAAATATAAAAATGAAAGTAATTGCCAAATACAGCACATATTAAATATTATGTAATAATTTTCTGAATGTTTTTTTCTTTCATTGTGATAATGATTTAAATAAGAATTTATCTTGAGATGTTGCCGAACAAAACACTTCATAATTAAATTAAGTAATTTAATTATTGATTATACTTATTGAGTATTTCATTACCAATGTATACATAGTATATTTCCTTCTTATAAAAAATGTAAATGTTATTAATCTAAAGTTTATATATTATAATGATGTGATTTCATTTTAGTCTAATTCAAAATTAAATCAACTATAATTATTATGTTTTTGAATTAAATTTACTAAAACTAAGAATATATTTAATATATACAACGAATAAGCAGTATTATAGTATTAATTTCTGATACATATTCTGTTGCACAAAATATTGTTTATAAGCGTTTAAATAAAGGTATTGAAATGTGTGCATGGTTCATTTTGATTTATTAATTTGGCTATTTTATAACTCATAACAACAACATATAAAGGCGCTGAATGAAAAATATCTTTCCAGGAAATGGAACAACACAACATTTTGAACATATATAATTAGAATTAGAAGTAATTCAAAGTAAATACAGGCTGCTGAAAACGAATTGTATTCAATTTCAAGAATTTTGAATATGAGAAAAACATATTTTTAACTACCAGAAGGACAGAAGGTACTATTAACATTACGCGCAGGTGTACTGGCTCTGCTTTGTTCAATTTTCCAATGTGTTCCACAAATTTGATCTGAATAACAATATTTGCATTACTAGAAGAAAATAGGCTTTTGAATAACGCTAATAAGAATAGAAAATAAACTCCTAATAAACAAGACAATTATTAAACCAATATGGTCCTACGGTCTACAACTATAGGGTGCGGCCAGTAAATCAAACATAACTATTCTACAGATGTTCCAAAACAAAATTATGAAAGATATCATGAACGCTCCAAAATATGTCCCCAACTGGTTCATACATCAAGATCTCAGAATTCCAACTACAGAAGAAGAAATTAATCGTTACTGCTCCAGATACAAAGCTCGTCTAAATTGTCATCCAAATATACCATTTAGCGTGTAACCTGCTCAATCCTTTACCGCCAAAGGTCCTCAAAAAAAGAATCTGCAATGATTTACTACAACAAAACACAAAATATCTAAGAAGGTGCTATCGCAGGATAGCGATCCTTTTCATGCTGCCAAATAAATATACCTGTAAATTAGCTGAATGTATATAGTTTGCTAAGAACAATAAAACAAAAAAAAAAGAAAGTAGTCGCAAAAACGCATTACCCGAAAACATTAATTGAACAATTATTTTAACCTTTTGTCATTCATCATTTGTTTTACATTATGTGGTGCTAATGTGAGTAGAATCGCGAAATTTCTTTTTCGATATCTTTTATGGTTACGCCAAAATGTGAGTTTGAAAAAAGGGGCACTGTGGCATATTTTCAATGATATCTCGGCCATAAGGTGAGATACAAAGTTGAAGATTGGTATATAGGATTTTTTCAAGAAGATCTTCAAAATAGTGTATAAATTATATAAATATCAGGATGGGGCCGATAATGTATGGCAATGCGCCCATACTCTTGAGCGTCTTGACTATTACGTACTCGATTGGCAAACCCTTGCAAAATATTCTGGCTGTTTGCATATACTTTCTGAACAGTTAAAAGAATACATCCTCTAAATTTGAGCCGTTTTGGAGGAGGTCAGTGGCGATAGGGCTCTTTTATGGTACTCAATTTTTAATTTATTTAGTTTGTTTAATAAGCGTTAAGTTAAGGCTAAAACAATCTTTAATGAATTTTATCACAAAGGAGAAGTTAAAAAATATAAAATATAGGGTTCAAGTAAAATAAAAATTTATGTACAATGTACACGTATATTTCCGAGTCCGCGGCTTTCTCGGCCATTTTGCCACCCACGCCACCCTATAGTTACGCCATTGAAGGAGGTCATAAAACTTTTTTTTTGACATTTATAAAAATGATGAAGGGATGATGACGCAACCGCGAAATGCCTGCCCGAATGGTACTTTCTTACCGATAATAAAATATCATTTAAAAAGTTTCTAGCTTTGTGAAAACAAGTTAGTCAAATAGTTCGCTGGCGCCTAGACTATTATATAAATTGGAAATTGTGATGACATTTTTTCCTAATGTCTGCACATATATAACAACATATATAGAATTCAA